TTGTTGTTGTTGTTATGCACCAGCCGCTTCAAGGCTTTCGAATTCATTTTAACTTATAATTTAGACTTTAAAACACATTGCTGTTGCATTTTATGTGGGATCGCTAAAAGCTTTTATGGGTACTTCAATTCGTCACTCACTGATTAATGACTGCGTGCTTCATACTTTTCAGACCGGGGATTATACATCTAAATCTATCTATTATTTACAAAGCTTGATTATAATTCTCTTTGAATTTAATATACATACATGCGTAAGGAACTTATTAATGTAGTTAAATGAGTTTTAAGAGGAATAATTTTATGGTAACGAAATATATTTATTATTTTATTTATATAAGTAATAGATATTTCAGATAGTTTGTGTACTATCACTAAACACGGTTCGCATTAAATCTTAGATATACATTTATTTTCATAATATAATTATCATTACTATATAGTATACCAAATTCAGTATGATGAAATTTCAATGAGGCAGCGAAGGGACACGTCATATATAACTAATAATAAACATGCGTATAATGACATGTTTTTCATTAGTTATATATGATTATTATACATTAGTGATATGTTAGTTATATATATTATAGCCGTTTAAATTTTTTAAGAGATTATTTTCTCAAAAAAGTTTAACGGCAAAAACACCTGCATGCCAATAACAGTCATATATTTTCATTATGCTTATATTCCATATACATATGTTAACGTGTCAGATATTAAATTGCAATAAATTTGTACATGTTTGAAAGAGCGACTATAAAGACATAACCTTCGTTGTTAATAAGTTTTAGTATAAAATAACAATGAAGTCGTGAAAACAATTATAAAGAGTTTTGATATTTATTTGCGATGTAGAAATTATAAACATAGTAACATAATATAAATACAATAACATTGATACTATAAAAAATTCTCTGTTTTTGAGAATACTGGTATTACGCTATATCTTTTCTAAAATTGGAAAGATTTTCATTACGCTTTAGTCACACTAGTTGTAATCTACATCTATAATAGTTTTAATTTAAGCCATCTATGCTAATTATTTCTTTCAAGAAATAATACGAATCGTCGTTCGTTCGAGGTTCTCACTTTTGTTTCCCACAACTATCCAAAGTAAGCCTTGCACCTTTCCAACTCCACTAATAATAATTAGCTTGCATTCCAAAAAAAAGTGCCATGAATAAGATAAATTTACATACTCTGTATATATTATTTAAACTATCGTTAGCTAATTGAATTAATATTGTCATGAAATTAATAAATATACATAATTACTCAGAAACTAAAACTTCTTTAAAAGAGTTATCAGAGTCAGACTCTCATCTCGTAATATCGTTTATTAATTTTGAAATTTCATTATAGATTTAATGATAGTAATAAATAAATTAAGTACAGCCATAAAAGAAATAAACACGTAAGTGTATAAGTTTTATATTAATAAACTCCGAGAGTTCTCAAGTTAGTTTCAAAACGTTGGTACTTGAAAACAGAGGTATATTCAATTTTACCTAACAAGTTTCCCTCTTCTAATTATTTCTGTCATGCATTCGTGTATTTATAATATAAATCATCTAATGAAAAATAAAATTCGTATTCCTCTTTAGTTTATTTAATAACTAACAATACGAACAGGCTTCGCATTGTTTTTATATTTGCATTCGGATGCATGACAAATCTTTGAATTTGTCGGTTTGTTCTATGCGTGTAGATACATATATTATTCATATAAAAATTCTTCCTGAGTCACTCTATCTATTACTAAAAATTGCAATAAAATCCGTTGCGTAGATTAACAGCGGAAGTGACTTCGTTTTAAATCATGTAAAGATTTTCAAAGATAATATACCCAATTGAAAAATATTACTAGTTCCCTGAATATCATTCAATCTTTTTTTTATCGTATTGTTATATAATAAAGTATTTATTTTAGTGGTTCCATTTTTAACTGTATGTGTTCAATAGTGTTTATTCCTTTGTCCAATATAAAAAGAAAATAATCTTTCTGTTAGCACTGCATCTGTTTCATTGTTTTTTTTTTATTAAATAATCAGTATGGATTCAAAAGGATTGTTGGTAATCAAAACTTGTAACCCACTTGTAACTAGTTATGTGAGGTTGACGTCTACTCAATCTCCCTGGAAACCTTCCGAGTGAATGGTGCATTCTAATTCCAATCCACTGTATATTTAATAAAAAAAAAAAACAATAAAATGAAAGCGATAACATAAATGTTATTTTCTTGAGATACATGCTATGTATGATATCATGCAACGCCAGCGAATACTGTTAGTGCATTAGACAAGTGCAGCATACCTAAAATATACGGAATTATACAGTTCAAATACATACATATTTCGTCCTACGACTCCTACGTATTAAAAAGTTAATAAATCATGCAATAGGTTTGATATAATTTAAAAGCAATTTTCAATAAACTGGGAAAAGTTGTGTAGCAGTTTAAAATACATTGTTTGATTGTTCGGCTGAATCTGAAAGGGAAGTTGCTGTAAGTTGTGCCTAAAAGGCAAGTTACTGTAAGCCGACATGGTAACATTGTTTAGAGAATTTGAGTCTCGATATATTGATTTTGTACAAAACTATCCGCTGATTGGTTTTATCAATACCAAACGGTACACTGTCGATATTTTTGGCTTTGTTGTAACTTGAACTTAATCTCGTATGTTACGTATTTTAAATCAGGCCATTACATAACTGTTTGTAATGTATATCGAGAAAAATATTACTAATTTTTTTTTTTAATTTATTATGAATTTTTTAAAATTTAAATCTCAATAGATAATATTTTTATTAAGGTAATTGGGCTATTACCAGGTGTTAAGAACCTGTAGTCATGCGACCTTCTAAAATCTATTGTGCTCGCTTTGTTTACAGTTCGCTACTTACGCCTGTCAGGGACAGGTAGCTGCTACTAACTTAAATAAGTATAATTTAAATTTTCTGTAAAAGGCAATCCAATACGAGGACTAAAATATGTTTAATTATAGTATAGTATACTCTGAAGAATTCAGACAACGTCATCTAATCCCAAACTAATCAAAGTTTGTGTTATAGGTACTAGACAACTGATATACATAATTTTTTTTTTTGTAAATATATAAATAATGTACATAGAAAACATCCAAACTGCTCAACAATACAAACACTCATACTCACGAATACAAAAATTTGCACCGTGCAAGGAAGCAAACCCGCAATCATGAGAAGTAAAACGCTGTGCTAAACCGCTAGATTACAGAGGCCGTCAATTAACAATTTAAACTCATTGTAATGATGGATACCGTTCTTTAATTTTGACATTTACATAATTGAATAATCTATAAGATTTGATTTTAATAATTTATAAAATCTGATATTATATTCTTGATATGGATACCTATACGTTTACGTACCTAGTGTGCAAAATGCACATTAATATTAATAAATTTGATTATCAAACATAATTTATTCATTGTATGTAACATATAGTTATGATTGAAATAACTGACAAAATTAATATTGTGCCTATTGCCTGAAATTAGTACCTATTGAATTCTACTTTCGATATTAACTTTGAAAAGATTTATATTTAAGAAATTCATGTCCTACCTACCAGCTAATGGATATAGATACTAAGAGATATGTCATTTGCATTTATACGTAAATATATACATAAATGTAGTATTTCCAAAATCAATATTGGTTAATGGGATCTTAACAATTTGAACTTTCAAGAAAATAATCCACCTTCTACAGTTGATTTACAACGGCATGGTTCAACGAGACCAACCCCTACACCGGGAGTCCCTCAAAAGTTCAACAAATGACATTTATACGAGGATGACACTATTATGACAGTAGATTATTCAAACCTTTATTGTTCCATAAAAGGGTCGCAGTACACCATTTCGTAGCTGATTGGTAGGACCATAGGACCAACCGTAGAGCTGATTCCGGACTATATATTCAACCCACGACTTCAAACCGCAACAAGTAGGATTCACACTTATAAGTGATATAATAATAACGTATTATATCTTAAATAAAAATACATATAGTATAAAATAAAAAAAAAGTATAATTGATGTTTTTATTTCAACCCACTGCACTTTATGGAGAATTTCACGACAAAAGTAAATTAACGGCATTAGGTTTTATAACATACTATCTACTCACCCCGGCTACGCATGGGTGTATATGTGCATTATATATATATATCAATCTTGCTTTAGAATCACTGTATCTATTAAAAAATCCGCTTCAAAATCCGTTGCGTAGTTTTAAAGACTTAAGCATACATAGGGACGGACATACAGCGACAGCGACTTCGTTTTGTACTATGTAATGATGATAATAATAAAACAATAGTGCTATATTCTATTTAAAGATGGCAACTATTTAATATAAAACAGCCTAACCCTATTTTAATTAACTAGTGGCAATCTTATGCAATGTGACTATTTGGTCGTACTCATGTTGCATTACTCTGCAGTACATTTACCAGACTTTAATAGGTAGGTACTTTAATAGTCTATGGTACAGCTAGAGGCTATCACTTATAGTAGTCAAATATCAACTTTGTAATTTGTCTCGATAAATATCTTTCATATTACTTGAATTTCGCAGTCTGCCAATGCCGTCAGGATAATTTTCTTATGTAGGGGAGACCGGGTACAAAAGTAACATTTTGCACTTTTACCTTGGTTTCTAGTTAGGTGTAATTATTTTAATAAAATTAATATAGTCATAAATAAATTCCGTTTATATTCTTTACATTAGTCTCTTGATTTATCATTTTATTGTGTATTTTATATGAATCACAGAGACTTCAAAAAAATTCGTCAGTTGTTACTTCCGACCACGTAGGCAGGCCGAAAGTAACACGTTGTGGGTCGAAAGTAACTGGACAAAGGGGTTTGTAATGAATGTAATATACATATTAAATCGATAAATTATTTATTAGTAGACTTTGTATTAATAACACAGGTAAACATTTACACTTTAAATGCTCAAAAATGTTTCAAGAAAACAAAACAAATTATTCTTACTTTAAGTAATGAGATCAATTATTATATAGTAATATTTTTTTTATAAACAGACTAATTAGCATTAGTTTTTTAGTCAGACTCACAATTATGGCACACATAATTTGCATCATCGTTGACGCATTCAACATGTGACCACATTTTACATTGGGTACATTGTATCCACTGCTCATTTCGTTTACTGTTGCTAAAAGTTTCTAAACAAACGAGACAGAAGCAATCTTCGTCGTCAGATTTATTTTCCTTGTCTTTAGCTTCGTTCTTTGTCTTTTTTCCTTTTCCCTTCCCTTTCGTAGATGTCATCTTCCTCTTGCCATTTCCAGTATGTGGTTGTAAAACCATTTTCTTGGCTTTATTTCTTTGTTGGTATTCTTCTTCAATTGCGTTTTTTTCGGGCGTATCCGTCAATATTGCTGTCTTACGTTTTTTACGTCCTTTATTTGTTGTAGTTCTCGGACCCGCTTGTGGTAAAGGTCTAAGATCTTTAGGAGTGAAATCAAATGGTTGAGAAGAATTTGCTTGTTGTAGCCCGCTAGGTCCTGGTACTGGCGAGTTGGATCTTTGAGAGATATCATCGCTAATTGTACGCTGGACAGTCCGGTCACTCGATGGTGGAATATTATCTACTAGAGTATCTGGATCAACTTGAATGGAGGATATTGCGTCAAAATTGGTCAACTGATCATTTGGTGGAATTTCATTGTTAACTTGTAAAGGCCGGTCAGTGACAGATGATGGTGCATAATCGACAGCAGTAAAAACGTTCCTGTTAAATGGACTTATACCGGTACAGGCAAATCCAGCAATTGCATTTCGATCAGTGACAGAAAGAGGAAATGCTTCATTAACAATCCCAGGAATGTAATGGATAGTCATTGTCTGCCCAGGATGATTTCGCATCCAGTTGTCTGTAGCAGTGTTTATCATTTTTTTGAATGGTCCAAATATTGCTCTATCTAAAGGCTGTAGTTTGTGCGTGCAATGGGGTGGAAACGACAGCAGTACTATTCCATTCTTTTTACAAAAATCTAGAGCTTGGATAGATATATGTGATGCATGGTTGTCGAGCAGTAACAAGCATTTTTGATCTACTGTCGGCTTGACTTGTTTTTTGAAGTGTTCTAGAAATAGTAAAAATTCTGCTTCCTGCATCCATCCACTAGCATTGCCAGCTCCGGCACAACCAACAGGACCTTCACGTATCATGTGGTCTTGGTATCGCTTCAATGGGAATACAAAAAAAGGAGGTATGTGTCCTCCTTGAGCATTAATCGCTACAGCAACAGTTACTAATCTCCCACGTTCTGCTGAGGTTACTGCGCCTACTTGTTTAACTCCTTTTTGAGCTACAATTTTACTAGGTTTTTGGACAGTGGTCACCCCTGTCTCATCCATATTCCAGATATCGTTTGGCTCAAATTTATACCTATCCATTACATTAGCAAGGTTATCATAAAACTTACTCACGTTATGTTCATTGAAACTGGAGGCCCGCGACAGGCTTGTTGCTTGCGGACATCTCAAAGAGAGGCTCGGATGTCGCTTTAAAAAACCCGCCAACCATTCCTTACCAGCCATTTGTGTATCGTGCCACTTTTCAGGAAATGATTTTCCGTTTTTTATCGCCAACTCATATGCCAATTTTCGTACTTCAGGTGGAGACAACCCAAAGTAAACTCCAGAGCATTCGATCAAATAGTCCTGAAGACATTTTTCCTCATCAATATTAAACACACGGTTGACGCAACGGTAGCCCACAATTGCGCTAGTATTTCCTGCTTTTATCTTTTTTATATATCTGTATAAAGTTACATGACAAACATTATATTTTTTTGCCAGGGATCTAATTTTTGTACCATCTTTGGCATGTTCTTCAGCTGCTTTTCGGTACACTTCCATGTCAGTAGTTCCTCGTGTGGTAGTCCTTATGCGTTGTCGCGGCATTCTGTAGAAAAAAATACACACATAACAGTTTTAAATAAATCAATCAATACGGGGACAAAAGTAACATGTTACTTGTGTACCCATAGGGCTATGTTACTTTTGTACCCGACCATATTTTTGTTGAAACATGAAAGATAACCTTAAAAGGGAACGTGATAGATAAAAACGAATGAAAACAGTGTGTAATCAATCTAATCAAGAATTAATATGCACATGTTCATATTGGTATCATCCTTTTCAGACTACGAAAACATTAAATAAGAAAACGTTAAAAAACTTACTTTTGATTTGTGAAATCACGTAGCGTCCTCTCACACAACCTAAAAGCGCGTGGCGCGCGCGGCGACTGAATGTAAGCGGGGGGGGCGCAGTCAGCAAACACCTTACGGTAGCGAAGTGGCGTATGGCTATTGGAGAAACCTACAGACCATTTGTTACTTTCGACCTACCGTTACTTTTGTACCCGGTCTCCCCTATTATAATTACAATATTTAAAAAAAATATCATTTTTTTCGAAAGAATATCTCTCACACCACACGGAACTCCAAAACGTAAGGCTTTCGATGATTCTTTTTTCAATCGATATGGTTTTATGTATTAAAAAAATAACCATACGACCAAAAATCATACGGTTAAAAAAATACCAACAAATAATTAATACGATACAACAATCGAATTATGACCCCATTGGCCGACGACAGATACAAAAGTGCGCATAATTCAAAATTTTAAATGATTTTTAAGTGTGCCTTCAAATATGTCATGTGAAGTATTTAGTATAGAAATGACAAATTCATGTTATATTTATGGGATTAACTTGAATAGTAACGTACTTATTCTAAGTCTATACTTATTCTATTCTAGTGTCCTAATTATATCATTATAATTTACAATCAAAATTATTTAATCATAACTCAAAGCATGTACATAGTTGACCGATCATTGTCGATTAATATAGATCAGCAGCAAAGCTGACTTCCTACGAAGGATCTTCGGGGGAGAGGGTATAAAAACTGTTAATAAAGGAAATCGAGGTCTGGTAAGACGAGACGCTAGTTTGTAAGTGATCTGTTGTTGAATGTAGGGTGAGGGGCGGTAGCGGAGGAGACAGCGGAACGGGTAGCGCGAGCGGAGACCCCGGTTCGTGATTGCTGACATTTATCTTGCGGCTAGCTAATTAGCTAGCGTATAGCACTGACTGCGGCCGCACAATGGGGCACTACTGAAACGCGTGGACACAAATACTGCATTAAAATAATAATTTAGACGGAGTGCAGTTTGCTATACATAAAACAAAGCTACGTGCCCGCCTCCTCGGTGTTATATGTCGTTTATGTTCACAAAGCGAAGAGTAATGGTCAAATGAAAAATATGTCGAGCGAATATATAGATGGCTTTTCTGTACTACAACTTTCTTGGATTTGAGGCAGACAAAGACTGTGTATTCATGCAAAGGAAAATAAAAACAATCCTATTCGGTTTTACCATTTCGATATTTTAAGAATGCTGACTTTTGATTATACTGGCGCGAACGCTGCGAATAAATATACTCCATTTTTAAAAATGCAATCCTTCTTTTTTATGACGTAGTAGGGTGTCAAATTTATAGAATGAAAATATACAAACGGCGTTTGTGGTTGGGCGCGTACGTTAATGAAGCCCAGTGGGCGGATGTACTGCTCGTAAATACTAGTCCGTTTCGTTTTTCCGCTTCCGTTCTAGTTTTGCCATTATTTCACAGTTACATGTCTTATTTAAAATACATACTTTAAACACCACACGTAACCACAGAAATAAGATATATATCTAAAAACAATTAAATGGATATCCACTTAGAACGACTGTAATATAAATTTTCCTATATTATTTATTGTCCATAAAACTCAGTACGATGCTCATCTTATCGGTATAAAATACGGTCCTCTAAATGCCTTACAGCGCTGTTTAAGACGACGAGTGTGTCGCGTGGCATTGCCTTACGACTGGACATTATTCACTGTCCAGTTTCCCCTTTAGGTCAGAAATAACTGTTTCATACCGAACGCAAGCTTGGACGTATTTAAGCTGTATTCGTTTACTTACATATTCGAGTATTTGTGTACCTACATCATGATAGATATATCTGTACAAACAATTAATATGGAATTAATTTATTCAAAATAAATTACTATAAATATTTTACCTACTTTTACATGCCAAACAGTTCAAAAGTAAATATGATTAATACGTGTTACGAATCTCTTCACGTAGTCTACAAAGTACAATATATTATGTATTTATTGTTCATGAAAAAAAAATAAGACATGATCGAAGCATTACATACAGTAACAAGAGGTGGTAACCCATCACACTTTCACATTTATGATATAAAAAATACAGGTATCTGAATACTATTACGAGTAATTTAATGTGTAAGGATATTTATATACAGAATATAACATAAAGTTTAAAAAATTATTTCTCGTACCGTATTCAGACTGGGGAGCTATAAAACAGTACAAAAACATACAACAAGATAGCATACAGATAAAATTCGCTTCAGTTCCTATTTTAGGCATAAAAAAGAAAACCCTAAGACTTGAGACGAATTGTAGCTTAAACTAACGACCGTACGCTATTCGCGATGCAATGCCGATATTCTAATTTCCTAAAAGCAAATTGCTGTTAGTTGAATTGAGGTATAATTCCTTGCAATTTCTGAGAAAGTGGTCGATGGTATCGGAGCGGCGCGGCGTGGCGCGGCGTAGCCTAGCAGTGATGGCCGTGCAGCTGACGGGAATGAATGCGGTAAATGTTATTGGGAGCTACCTACACTTAACCACAATCCCAATACTCGTAACTACTCTAAATCAATTGAAATAATGCTATACAAAATGACCTATTCCTGTCTGTTTATACGCTATTCTGTTTAAAAGTTGTATAATTATAATGAAAACTAAAACATACATGTCTGACATTATTAAAAATAGTTGTGTATATAACTTTATATATAGTAACCTTTATACTGATCCAATTTTGCCGATTATTTTATAATCAACACAATTTGCTCACTTGCCGCTTCCATTCAAATGTTGTTGCTACTTATGATTGGGGATTTATGGAACGATATCGTAGTGTATAGAATTACCTTTCACGAATATATGCGCAGAGAGCACTTTTATGGATACCAATAGTCTTTTAGAAACTTAAAATAGTATCCGTTTTCACAGAATTTATACGGTTTTATACGAAGGATAAAGGTCTATAATATTTATGTAGGATGGTTAGCAAGAAATATATATTATAACAGTAGGTAATCTATATCATGTAATAAAACCAGCACCATAACATAAAGATGTAATACGTCTGTGGTAGATACATTTACTTATTATTTAAATTTTACCAACTAAATTTTTAAATGCATTCTTCTTTTAATTTCTTCAGATTTCGATGTTCTTAGACATCTATATAAGCATACAATCAAATCCAGAAAGAATTCACTGACTTATACATATTTCAAACCTCACACTAATGCTAAGTTTATAAGTAGCTTAAATAATATAATAATATGTTAAAAAATACCTACTCAGAATTCAGATAGTCGATTACAGTTTTATAATTATTTCTATGAAACTGGCGGCCGATATCTAAAGTTATAAATTCTAATGTTTCGATCGGAACGATAATAGAGTGAACTTTGCATTGGTTTAGCAAACTCAAATTACCCGTTTAATCAAAATTTGTTTGGGTAGAGAATAATTAAAAATGTATGTACTAAACTCAACATTTAATCGGTAGGACCGAACAAAAGTCCATACCGACTTGATCGAATAAAGTTTCGTATGACAAGTAGAAAACGTTTGGATTTCGCCCAAACTTAAATCTCAAGATCGAAAGGCTAACTAAAATGTTTCATCCCAAAATGGGGTAGTCAAAGGTATTGCCAGCTGCCGTGGTTGTGGTGAATTCAATGCTTAAAATACCCACATTTTGCTGAATTTTTGCTTTGATATCAGTGGTTCTTTCACCATAGAGATAGAAATATAAATCATCATCATCATCATCTTAGGTGAAATTCAGACTATTAATATTGTAGTTTTATTTTACATGTATATAAATAAAAAAATACAGAAAAAGACTTGGAATACGGAGATATATACTATGAACGATTGTCAAGACTTGGAACTATAGAACAAAATGTACAATAACAAAATTGTAACCTGAATATAAATTTATAGTAAAAAATACATTTCAGATTAGCCGTATACAACAGTAAACCATTAAGTCACGCTGTTCTCATATATATATATACACACATAGGTATATACATACATTAAATTTTGTTCGCACTTCAAAATACTACAATACCTACTTATGTCTACCATAAATCAGCAATACAATGCGTCGCGTAGAGTAAGACTACCATATATCAACGAGTACGTATGTATTCCTCGACTAAGTAAATTTACCGTCTAAAAATACATCTCTTAAGACAAAAGCCATGATAAAATAAATATTTCATTAGGTATATCATCTAAATAAATGTATTATATGCCGTATGCAGCTATGTCTTTCACAAATATTTGACATAAAACAACGACTCTTTGTGAAGTCTAGAGACTTTATAAACACAGTTATATCGTGTATGACTAATGATATTTTTTCAGTCCAAAGATCTAGCTTCATAATATGTATATATTGTTTTAATAAAAGAAAGTAAATTTTAATCCAGTAGATTGAGTTAAAATGAATGACCACTACTTGCAAATGTAACATATAATTAAAAAAATATAAAATTGTAGTCCTGATAGATTACTAATATTACCTTTGTAAGTAGCTGTCATATTTATTTATTGATTGACATCAAGATTAAGTAACTAGCTACTATATTATCTGACTCTATAAAACTGTAAAGAGTGATGCCTCTAACTTCGAGAATTTTTAAATGATTTTGACAAATGTATTTATGTTTACAGCTGTCAAATACAAACTAAACAATTCGCATCTATTTCAAAACTAAACAAACCTTATACTAATAGTATTGAAACTGATAGAAATACCTAATTTATTTTTTATAGATACATACATTACCATATGTTTATAACATGCATAGAATGTCTTGGTACAGTCATGTCATGGAAGAGCCAGGATCATAGCTCAAAGAAAGTACTCTATGAATATGGATCGATGTGAATGGAGGGCACGACTGAAAAAAGATAATGACTGTATTCCTATGCTCTCATATTCGTCTGTATAAAAAATAGGTGGACTGTGTGAAAGATAAATATAATAAATAATTAAATACATGTGACTTGTTGAATTTTAGCAGAATGGCAATGGATTTCCTGAATGATACGTAAAATTGTAGGTTATTATTTTTTAATAAATATTTTTTTGTAATTATTAATATTTCATATTTTTGTATAAATTTTCCTATTGGGAACCAGTAAGGCTCGCTTAGTTGATGAATAGTTTGTATATAGA